CTAAAAGTTCTGAAAATTTTGCAAGTTTTTAAATACTTTTCCCAACGAATATGATATCACATCTTATTACGCCAGTATATCTATTAAATTTCCTGTTCTTATATAATCATAAAAAAAATGTTACTATGTGAACCAGCCTGTTTCAATATATATGGCGACGGCTTACACGAGTCTTGAAAAACATTTGGCGGAAACTCTGTATTGAGAAATCGCCAAAGAAGACGAAAACCACAAATCATACTTACAACAGCAAAGCACTTTCAAGCGAAGTAAAAAAGAAACAACAAGTAAAATACTTTCAACGCACAACTTCTACTTCAACCAACATGTACGAGTGCATGCCTACATAGACACATACATAGAAAGACAATAATTGAGGTGTGATCAATGCATTGCACGATCAGGTGAAATTATGATGTAAAATGTGGCATGCGACAAGGCAGCAAATTATATAGCAATATGTAATGAGTGAAATAAAAAGAAAACTAACTGTAAACCTACGAAAGTATTAGGTGGCAATGTAAATATTCAAATTGCCGCAGTAAATGTGGACAAATTTACATAAGCATGTATATATGTATGTATGGGTACCTAACATATATTCAAACTAGGTGCATGCAGTAATTTCTGCCACACAAAGTACCGCCTTAACATTTTCCTGCCACATGCCACGTGGCACGCCACTGTGGTAGCGGCGCCTAATACTTTCGCGTACAACAACAAGAAATGCAGGCGTTGTTATTAACCGCAAAAACAAAAACACAAAACAAAACAACAAAATTGGCAAATTCGACATACAACATGTTGCAGCATAACGGCACACACTCCCAACAACATATGGCACAGTGTTTTCTTTGAAGTGGTAATTTAGTGGCAAGCAGAAAGGATAGTGCAACAGCGAGTGAAATTACAATGTAATTGTTGCTTTTGTTGTTGTTATTGTTGCTTTTGTGTGATTGTTATGTGTGAATAATTTCCAGCTGCTGTGGCGGCCATAAAAATGCCAAACTAAATGCGCTCAAGCGCTGCAATTGCACTCACACACACACACGCACACACACCTAATATATATATATGTACATATATATGTATAAAGATTGTATGTGTGCTTGTAGGTGTTATGAACTTTGAATCTCAGCGCATGCGGTAACTGCTGCCACCGACACTTGCCACTTTGCATGCCTCGTTGCCACTACATCAACGCCTCCTCACCGCCGACCAGAGACTTCGCAGCTAAAACGGTCAAATATAAATTATTTATGTAGCCGCCTGCAAGTGCAAGTGATTTGGACCGTGGAAGTAAAAGTGCAACAGCAACATAGCTTTTTTTATTAGTATTTTGTAGCGCCGTTACTGCAGGCAACTGCAGTGTCAAAAGCAAAACTGTAAACCAGCATGATACACCACCTACGCTGACCAACTGTTACTGGCTGGCTACTGGTGTACTTAACTTATACTGATATCTATGCATGTATGTATGTTCAGTGGCTTCCGCCGGCTGTAAAGGTACTTACATTTTTTGCGGTAGTGCCTTGGCCATCCAAGTTCCGGGCCAACGCGTGGCAATGAAAGCAAATACACGATCCATATTTTATGGGTGTGCTGTCTATTGTTTGAAAGATGTAAGTATGTAGCTACAGATGAGTGTAGGTAAATACACAAGTTCATGCAGCATATACAAAAATGTTATGAACCATTAAGTTTGGGAAAAAATAACGTTTTTTTAGCGTCGTAGCGAAAGGGTAGCCGATATACAGATTCATTAACCCTCAAGCAAAGCCATAAACTTCAGTTTATTGCCTCATTTACACGAAGTTTACCGTTCGAAAATTTTCCAAATGTTTAAAAAACTTCGCTTCAATATTAAAAAGTTTTATGAACAGCGTTTAACGTCAAATAATTTAAAAAACCAAACCTCAAACTCTGAGTTTTTTAGACAATTAAATTAGAAGCATGATAGTTGTTCTTAAAAAGTTTAAACTCGAGTTATGTGGCATGATGTGAGCGTACAGCATAGAATTGAACTTCGTACATAACAACACTAAAAAATTCGCTACAAATATAATTATCATAACCGTTTTTCCCTTCTACTCAGTTACCGTAAATTTGCATTGTCTTCTAATAATATACATATTAAACCATATGAGAATGCCGTATTTCACACTGTCAGGCTAATGTTATATGTAGCTAACAACAAAGTCCTATAAAAAAAAACGAGATCCAGAAAACTCATCACACCTTATAAAAAGCTTAAATATAAATGAATTCTATATTTTTCGGCAAAAAAGGTCGCTCGAAGGTCATCAAAACCAATTGAATCTTCCAAATCTAAAGAACCTCATTTAAAGAAACCTATTTTCCGGGCTTCTCTGCGTTTTCGATATTATGAAAAGAATATAGAGAAAAAGTTGAAGTTCGTCAAAAGTATAACTGCCGAGATGTTTCAACCTTAGTCTTGTAAAAGCTGAAGGAGAAAGTGCCTAGATGTCTCTATCTCACTATTCTACATACAACTTTGACAATTAGCGTCTGACAAGATTTTTAGTATTAACGCATGAATGCCTATTGGACAATATCCAGTAAGAACTCCTACGATTGCGGCAAGATGAATTTTGCTAAGGGAAGATGTTTAAGAAGATCACCTTCATTCTACTCTAGGCCAAATCAATTTTGCAGTTACGCAGGAGCTGGTCGTCGATTAACGCTTGCTAAGCTATAGCCTAAAGATAATGTTGGCGAAGAGGTACTTACAGAAACTTCCTCTAACAACCTTCTCTTCGAGATCAGACCCTTCCTTGAAAAAGCTGACTGCGCCTCTTCTCCAGCAACTTCAATCCGTTCGCATATACCTCATCGGTATGTGAGAAGAGAAAAAGCCACTTTCTTTAAAAACTGGTATAGAAATCAATGTTATTGTCCCGGTGTTGATGCTTTTGACAAGTGTTTTAAAACTTCAGCGCTAGCCTCTTCGCGTATAAAGCTAGAGCTATAATATTGGTTAGTTGGTTAATTGACTAACGCTGAGTAGTTTTCGTAACGAGCAAAAAAAACATAAAACTTAGTGTTTTGTTTTTGAGTTTTGAAATCGAAAAATCCATATATATGTCCAATTCTAAAGAGTTGGCTGGTTAGCAACACTAAATAAATACATTTTAGGAAATACCAAGTTGAAAACTAAGTTTTAAAATAGTTTTCAACCCAAAAGGCATCTCATATGTCTTTTCTTGTATCATGTATATTGATTTGCTAAGTTCAGATAACAATGTTGGCGTTTTAGCGACCTCAGCCTGATAACTCACTATTGCTAAAATCTACTTTGTCATCCGGATTTAACGAAAGCATCTCAGTGTATTCCACAAATCAAAGTTTAACTGTCGCGTACTATTCATGTAGGAGGTGTACCGCTACATTCAATTTGTTCAAAAAGCATTAAACATTTTATTGTCTTTTTAATATGCTTGTTAACTGCATTTGTAAACAATTTACAAGAACATAAATAGAGATATATGTACAGATACATTCGCACTCACAGTTACAACAACATCACTATTAATGCTTATCAGGAAACTCGAAAATGTTATTTTTACGATGTAGCGTCGGCTATTTTTTCAATAAAAAGAAACGACAACTACAATGAATTCAAAATTGGATTCTAAATTCTGCAATGTCACAATGGAGCATTATTATTCTCTCTTATTTCAATTTGGCCGTTATAGATAAGAGCACCTCCGCAAAAATCATACTCTTTGCATCTTCTCACTGAAATTTGTACGCGTTAAAATCACTGCTCTCAGCCGTTTGTTTAAACAATGTGATGAAATTGTATTCAATATTCAAGATTGAACTTGAGCAATTTTGTTCACCGACAAGCTAGCAATTAATATGCATTATAAATTTGTAAATATTTGTAGACAAAGGGTGCCTCCGTAAGTACACAAAAATACTTTTAAGTAGCTTGGACTAACAATTAAACAGAAGGATCATATAGCTGTGTTCGATTCGCCAAGCGTTACTCTCCAGCGAATCGAACAAACCAAATGGAAACGCCAAAACCAAATGTTGCTGCACATTTAAGGGGCAACCCTGCGTTAATATGACTACTGACGCATGCGCAACGATCTTATGATTCTTTCCTAGTGGCAAATTTATTTTTTTTTTTGGTTGAAAAAACGTTGTAGTAATCTTTTATTTTGGATTTTTAGAAATTACTATTACGTAATCTAAGTCTTATGTTTTAAAAATACAAGAAAATGAAGACATTTTTATTTTTATTTGTTATTTGAACCATTCACAATAGTAAAACTGATCTAAAATTTGCAAAACAAAAATTGATAGCACTGAAGATAGCGGCTATATCACTTTAATGAGGTATATGCACACTATCTTGTACTAATTCAGCTCGATAACTTTGTTGTTGCTTTTATATGTAAATTAGTTGACAAAAGAGCAGCGCGGGCAGAAAAATGGCCACCTAATATTATATAAAATATTATTACTTTAATATTTTGTACAACTATATCTACATGCTTCTTGAACATTCACCAAATAATTAGGCTGAACCAAGTGATACTTTATAATGTTACACCCATTATACCGAAGTTTATTGATTTAAGTACATATGTACCTACATACGCGTAAATGAGTACACTATAATTATCTTATCACTGCCGGCGAGCTAAATAAATTTTGAGAGGGTTCTAACTAGAAAGTAGCAGATCTAAAGACAAACCTAGAAAAAGCCAATGCTTTCAATTTAAGAGCATTGTTATAACAATACTCAACCTGAACACCACGTTTTTAACATTTTCGCACATCTTTGAATAACTTCCATTAATATAAAATATTGCTAGTCTCCAGTCCCCCAAAAAATACCCAAGCGAAAAGAAGGCTTTAAAGAGATAACTTCAGATTATGTAGAATTTTTTTCTAACACGCTCTTGTTTCCAAAAAATTTTATTGTGGTAAAATACTAGATATTCTAATTAACAACCGAAAGCGACTACGAAAACAAACAATTTTTCAAAAAAATTGGAAATGTGTGCAATCTAATATTTTTTTATTTACACCTCTGCAACTCTATTGCACTGTCGTAATTGTTTGCATTATTAATTGCATACACCAGTGACAGCTACTTTATTCCACTTCTCAGTTTTATGGCGTAAGTCAAGCGCAACGCTTCCAACTCAATTCTAAAAGTGCTAAATATTTACGTTTCGCCCGATTTTTTATGCAAATTTGAGTTTTCGTGAAAAGCGTTTTGAGAATGTCAACAATTTTGAATATTCGTTGTGCCGGTACAGCTGTTTCGCAATTGTTTATACTTAACGAGAAGCAACAACAGTTACAAAAATACCAAATTGCATTTCAATCGACAGTCAGCAATGTCAAGGTGAGTAAATAATTACATTAGGGTGTATCATAATGTGTAGAATATTAAATTTCCTTAATTTTATTACATTGATTATTTTTTTATTACCTTAGCTCGAAAATCTTGAAAGAAAATCATCGGACGTGGAGTGGCAAAAGGCTTTACCTTATAAGTCTATACCCAGACTGACTAGATATCAAATGCTGCGTGGCTTCTTAAAAGGAGGTTAGATGGAGTTACTCACTTTACTTTGAATTTTATATTTAGTATTTATATATATATATACTTTATATTATTCTCTACCCTGCAGGTGAATTTGTCAATCTTTCATTAAATGATTTCGTTTTTAAATGCCGTGAACGCCTTGGTGATATATACCGTTTGCCCGGTGTGATTGGACAGCCTGACTCTGTTGTACTCTTCAATGTGGACGATTTTGAAAAGGTCTATCGTACGGAAGGTATGTGGCCAAGCCGCCCTGGTACTGACGCGGTGAGATACTATCGGCAAAACCGGAAGGACGGATTTTTCAAAGAAACTATGGGTCTGAATGATAAGTAAGGTTGCGTACTAACTATTTTCACTTTGTCACTACCATAATTTTCCTTCTTGCATAGACAATTTATTATTTAAACATTTTTCTTTACTTTACTATTTGATATGAAAAATAATCATATCGATTGAATGCAATATCGACATTGTGTACCATTTCACATTGTACTCCTATTGCAAATTAAATATCTATGTTATTGAGTACTCCAGCTAGCCAATGCGTACCTCTAACTGAAAGTGGGTACATGAACTCATTAAAGAGTACATGGAAATAAGAGTTGTATGCAATATAACGACCCACCCCAATGAATAGTTTTCACCGAGGTAGAGCACTTTCGCTATCTACTAACTTTTTTGACCGACCTTAAATAGAACTATGAATCTCTAGCTGTTGGGTATATTTTACTCATTGCAGCAATATTTTATGCATACATAAGTACATCATATAGAGAGTGTTTTTTTAGACATGTAGTTTTCAAAAAAATAAAACCCGTATAATTTGATGTTATAGCTAAGAAATTAGCTTTATAATTATGATATGGGTTTGCCATAATGTTTTAAAAATTATTTCGGGGAAGGGACCGCCGCGACTGGCTCGAAAAAATTCCAGCCGAGACAACCAATTTTCGACCACATTTTGCCACAGTCGGGGCCGTATGTCAGCAATAATGCGCTGAATATTCTCTTTCAAGGCGTATATCGTCTCCGACTTATCTGCGTATTACCAAAAGTTTCCTTGAATGAATTGTTTGTTTCGTTGGCTGTATGGCATGTAGCGCCGTGTTGTTGGAACCAAAGATCGTCTACATCAACATCGTCCAATTCAGGCACACAAAAATCATTAATATTCCGCATTGACTGTAACATTACGGCCGTCTTCGTTTTTGTTGAAATATGGGCCAATGATTCGACTACCTATAGAGTACACCAAACAGTGACTTTTTGAGAATGTAGTGACGTCTTAACAATTACTTGAGGATTATCATCACTCCAAATGCGACAATTTAATTCATTCAAATTAACATACTCATTCAACCAAAAGTGAGCTTTATCACTGAACAAAATTTTCTTGAGAAAATCGAAATTGAGGGCCATATTTTTGCACGAATTCACAATCAGGTAATAGCTGTCAAAAAGACGAACTTCGAAAAAAGTATTACCTCATTAAAAGCGCCTAAAAAACACCCTTTATAATATAGATTGTATAGTGTTTAATATAATATAATATTTATATCTGCATGTGATATTAATTTTAATTTTATCTTTTTAAAATAGCGGTGAAAATTGGGCGAAGTTCCGACATGAAGTTAATCCCGTTTTGATGCAGCCGAAAAATGCTAAACTCTATTTGGACCCTCTACAAAAAGTGAATTTAGAGTTTTTAGAAAGGTAAATTTTCAGAATTTATGATAAATATTTAAAGTAAACTAATTTTAAAAAATATGTCGAACTATTTTTTTAATGATAAATTTTTAATTCAAAAATTGCACTTTCTCAACATGTCAGAATACGTGATATACGCGATCCACAATCACTGGAAGTACCCGACAACTTCTTTGTGGACATAAATCATCTCGCTTTTGATTCGGTTGCAGTAGTTGCTTTGGATCATGAATTCGGTTTGATTCGTAAGAATCCCGACTTGGAAGAGGTCAAAATACTTTGTGAGCATATGAGCGCATTTCTAAAATCCATTTATGACTTGGGCATTAAGCCATCATTTTATAAATACATTACCACACCGACATACCGACGTTTCGCTAAATCAATGGATCTAATATTCGATATAACCAATCATTATGTAAATGAAGCACTGGCGCGCTTGGCAGTAAACCCCTCAAAGGATGGTGAAGAACGCAGTGTTTTGGAAAAACTGTTGAAAATTAATCGGAAGACAGCCATAGTTATGGCAATGGATATGCTGATGGCAGGTGTAGATGGGGTAAATAAGTGTAAATATTTAATTTGAAAAGAAAATACAAGAAAATAATTTTGTTATTAGACATCTAGTGCGATCACTGCTATACTGCTCTGCATCGCCAAGAACCCCGCAAAGCAACAAAAACTACGTAAAGAGCTACTTGCCGTGCTGCCACATCGCAATGACCAATTCACTATTGAAAACATGAAACAGTTGCCATATTTACGTGCCTGCATTAAAGAAGCGCTGCGCTTCTATCCGCTCGCCTTCGGCAATGCGCGTGAAATCGGTGCCAATATTGTGCTAAGTGGTTATCAGGTGCCTAAGGGCACCGGTGCTTTAATTAGCACAAATATGCTACCAAATGAGGAGCTTTTCTTTCCACGACCCCGTGAGTACATTCCAGAACGTTGGCTACGCATGTCGCATGCAACGTTACCCGATGGCGAACGCCTAATTGCTGAGAATGTCAATAAATTTATTAATTTACCATTCGGTTTTGGACCACGCAGTTGCGTCGGCAGGCGTATTGTTGAAATAGAAATGGAATTAACGCTGGCAAATTTAGTGCGCAATTTCAGCATTGAATACAACTATCCGGTAAAAAAGCCGTTTACTTATCACTTAATTAGTACGCCCGCTATACCGCTAAAGTTTAAGTTTGCCGATTTGAAGTGAGGATGGAGTATTAACTTTGGAATTACATGTTATGTTATATGAAATTAATTTTAATTTCGATTTTGGGATTTCATGCTTTAAGAACTTTTACATTTTGTATTTATAGTTATACTAGTATTAAATATATGTATAATCACACTTATTGTTTATATAATTTTTTCAGGAATTTTAGATCCGAAACTTTTCGATTTATCGTAGAAAGCATTAAGGGAGGCCCATATAGTATCTTAGAGAGATCTCTTAGATTAAACATATCGTTATCCATTTGACCGCTCAACTGGCAACTGATAAAAATTTAAATATCTCTTAAAAAACTTCTGAGTAGGTTGGTGTACAATTTGGGCGAAATTAAGAGCAACAGGATAAGGGATATGTAAAATTTTAAGAGGCTTGAAGAGTTGTCTTCACTTATGAGAAGTTCAATGTACATTCATACATAGATCTCGAAAAATAACAAAACTTTTATAACCAAGCCATTTAATGATGAAGTGTGAATATCAAAATTTTCGATATTACGAACCTTTTCATAAAACCGTTGTTCGACTTTACAAAAAGAATCTATAAGTATCAAAGCAGTAACTATGTGTATTCAACATGTCTCTCATCTTAATGTATAAAACTGATCGATAGGCGTGGCACCGTCTACTTTTAGACAAATTTTCATACGTCATAAAAAAACTCAACTAATTTATACCACATTTGGTTTATAATATATGTATCTATCACGTCCCCTGTGAAAAGTTTGAAAGTTAATTTAATTTGACTTAGCGAAGGCCACTTGCCCTAAAGCGTAATTCAAAATCACTTCGTTTACATTAACTGAATCTTTGTTCGTTTTTACCTTCATACTTGTACTATATCCTATTTATAGTATACATATTGGTTAGAGTGACATCATTTTTCGATAGAAATCGAAAAAATTTCAAAGTTCGTAAAAGTGATTAGTGAAATCTGTACGATATAAAATTAATAATCTTCAATTGAGGGTAAAATAACAGAAAGTGTTTAAAATTGGTTAAACGTCAGTAGCTTGCCTATCCAACTGTCAAAGCTACTAGCCTAGCATAGAGCACAGCAGATATGAATGAGCTTTTTGGCGCGAAACGTGACAAAACATCATTCCAAGGTATCCTCATATATAAAACCAAAATATTTTATGCAGGTGTTCAGGTAAGACAAATGTGGAGAATATGGAAGTATTAAAATAAACTGTCAAAATACGAGTACCATTAATTATTCAGTAGATGGGTTTGACAATTTAAAAGACACTTGCAACTCAATATCACTTTCAGCTGTCACTACGCTTTACGTGCACCACAGCTCTCTTTGGCATATGGAAGGGTACCGACTGACATTCCTGACAAATTTCTAATTAATTGTCCCCCAATTGCATTGGCTCCCATCACTTTCTGGCATTAACTTGTATGTATGTACGTTAGTATGTAACTATACACCCAATTAACTACTATTTTTCATATATAAACTATTTTGGCACTGTGAGTTTGGCATTGGTCTCTTTTCATGTTTCACACACTTTTTACGCTCTGACAGTACGGACAGTTTGTGGTCTTTCATTTTACAATTTCTTTGTCAAGGTTTTACGTTACACAAAAAATATATGCATAATACGAGGCTTTTAGATTCATGAAGTAGTAAAATTTCTTAATATATCTATATTATTGAGTTAAATTGAATATTACTGCATACTCTAGTGGCAATTAATTTCTATAATAAATCAAAAAGCTTCTGAAAAAAACGTATGAAAAATTTAAATCGATATCTCAAAACCAGAGGGAGTTTTTTTTGACTGTTAAAAACTTCGTGGAAAAGTGAATATATCCTGTTTAGGGTATAATAATCTTATCATTCAATATACACAGGTCTACTACAGATAACAAGAGTAATTTACGTTGGTAAAAACAGTTATGCTTAGTGTAAAGCATTAAATCAGTATTTGTGATGGCAAAAGACCGCAAGTGTCAACAAAACATTTTCTAAAGAAATAATTCATTCATTCAAGAGTTCAAGTCACATATTATCATGGAATTGGAGTACTCGAGACTAAAAATCATGAACCCTAAACCATCATAATCGATTTTGAATGCACGCATATGATTTTTCACATTTTAGCGACATCTGACGACCAAAATGCGTTCACTAGGTGGCTAAAATTATTTGATTGAGCTTTCATATATACTTGTATGTGATCAAGAGACGTTAAAGAGCATTTGAATTAGAGAGATAAAATAGTGGTGGAATTTATTCGTTAATGGAATTATGCTTCGAAAACATTAAAGTCCGTATTAAATTCTTTCACAATTTTTTAAACCACGATCAAAATAAATTCTCTTGTTACAATATGATGCTTTTTAAAAAAAGTAATTCTTTAGATCACACTCCTTCAAACGGTAACACGACATATAATCGATGTCACATACAAATGTTGCTCGCGATAGGAGGCAGTTAAGGCATGTAACACGCTGATAAATTTTAAACTCAGATTATTCTATAAGGGCTTAACATTTGTAATTCCAATAAATTTTTTCTATCAATGCCCTAAGCGATACTACCATAGTAAAATAGATTGCAGATAAATGTACAACACTGAGTTCCTTCTCTTTCTCACTCACTATATGTGTTATATAATACATATACACATATGTTGCTATTTTAAATCCGTTGCAAGCTTTCAGAGCTTTTAGAGCTTTCATAAAAGAAAGTTAATGAAATTCTCTCGGGAGGAACAGGAGGTGGCACGCGGTCAAGTTTCCATCAAGCGTTTAAGAGCCCATAATATAAATATGCACTTTGTATATACCCTTTAACTGTAATTTGCATAAAGACTTTGCCATAAAGCTTCTTGTGAAAGTTAGCGAACTTCTTTTTTATTATTTTTTTTTTTAATGTTCATAAAATACCATTCAGAAGATTGTTGATGTGCTGTCAAACATAAATTATATTATTAGTTAAACCAGTATTTAAATATGACCCTGTTTTCTTCCCACCTAAAATTTATTCAATACATACATACCATAAATTTACATGTTATTATTTACAATAATTTATTGATTTGTAGCTAACGCATCAAAAGAGGTGTGGCCAGAAGGTGTTCACAATAGAAGAAAATAGGTAAATGCGGAAAAAGCCAACCTTGGTAAAAGTACTTTCCGGCAGATCGCGTCAGTTTGGTTAGCGGCATGAGCAATATTACTCTCTACATACACACATAAAACTACCACACACTCCCTGGCCTATTAGAGTTTATGGGCAAAACGCGTAACCCGCTTGGAAAGTAAAAAAGAAAGGGCGCTTATGCAAAGCAAAACAAAAACAAACCGATCAATTTTCGTAGCTTACTACTCGTATTATTTGAGTATCTATACCTTTTTACTGTAAAAATTAAGATAACTATCTCTAATTTCTAGCTCTATTTGAATTAAGCGAGTATGTAATAACAAAATTACGCTGTGAGTTTTGCAATAGCAAAAACAGTTAAGCAATAAGTATTTACAACCAACATGCTCACGGTCATATCAACTTAATTAGTTGCAAAATGCCACAAAATTCGCGAGCAGAGCAACTCTGCTGCCTCAAGTGTGCACAACAAAGCTGTTAAGTGTTAAATTGATTACACGCTCGCAATGCGCGGCGGATACTTTTACACTTAACTAGCTAATTTGCACTTATAAAATAAAACAGCAATGCCGCTAGCAGAAGCATTCGGGCTATTAGCAGCAAGAGCGAAATGGCAAAAAAAAAACTTTAAAAAAGTTAAAAAAGCAAAAACGACTACAACGAGTAAAAATCCAAATTCAAAATAAAACATCAAATTCCGGGTGGAAATTGCAAATTTTCAAAAAACAAATTCCAATTAAAGCGCCAACAATTACCGTTGAATGGCGCATAAAGTTAGTCAAAGCAGCCAATAAGCTGCTGACGACACAAACCACGGAACTGCGTATGCGGCTTTCGCAAACGGGTACAGTTAGCCGACATATAATTGCTAGTAATTCACATTACGGCCAAGAGCGGGGGTTAAGCAGCAGTCGCGGCGTAAAACTTTTGCGTGTCTCGTTAGTCCAGAAAGTGATGTGTGCGTATAAATTGCGGCCGATTCATTATTGTCGATTGGGACCCACGAACGCGGTATACAAACAGTTTACGATAAGGTAGTTACATTTTTATACCCTGCACGAAGTTTACAGCAACGAGAAGAAAACATTGGAGAACGAATATATAGTTTTTGAGATACCGATCTGAAAATTTGCTAATCTCGTTTTCTTCTCCAAAAGCCGCTCATTTGTTAGAACTGACAATATCAGACCACTATAAATTATAGCTGTCATACAAACTGATAGATCAAAACTAAGTTCTTCTATACAAAACTTTTCTATTTGTGTAGGGTATTTTAGTTTCGGTGCGAACGAAGTTAACCACTTTTCTTGTTTATTTTTACTTTCACATACGCACACACGCACACTTTGAGACATACATACATACAAGTGCATACATGTATTGATCACCTTGTTTGTCAGCAATTGACTTTGTTGGTCATCTAACCCATTTCTCAGCACCAGCTGCCACTCTGCCACTCTCAAGGTCACAATCGTAAACTACACATGTCCACATACATATATTGTGGCAGTTAGACCTGCCTGCAGCATTTGTTTATTGACATTCGCACTACTGTACGCAGGCGCGTTGAAGTTGCTGTTGGACAAGCGCTGATTGGCACTGGCGTTGGTTGCACGCACCCTGATTTTTATTGTCTGAATTAAAAGCGTTTTCCTTTCTTTTGCCATTGCTTTTTGATTTTTCGATTTTTTTAGGTTTTGTATTTATTTATTGCGTACATATGCATGTATGTTTCTATCGCCGTTGGGGTGTGTAGACAATTTTGTTTAACAAACCAATACGCTGCATCACCGCTACACGCATGTGCACGTGCCACAACTACAGGCAGCTTCAGTTACTCTTTATGGATAAATGGATATATGGTTTGTCAGCATATTTATTGTAACG